GTTTTTGTTTTTAAGAGAGCGATTGGTGGGAAGTAGAGGGAGTAGGGGAGATAATCTTTTTTTTTTTTTCAAAGTTTATTTTTAAAGATTTTTAATTTATTTATTCATGAGAGACATACACAGAGAGGAGAGAGACCCAGGCAGAGGGAGAAGCAGGCTCCATGCAGGGAGCCTGATGTGGGACTCTATTCCGGGTCTCCAGGATCACGCCCTGGGCTGAGGGTGGCGCTAAACTGCTGAGCCACCTGGGCTGCCCCAGGAGAGAGAGAATCTTAAGTAGGTTCCAAGGCCAGCCTAGAGCCCAGTGTAGGGCTTGATGCCACAACCCTGAGATCAGGATGTGAGCCAAAGTCCAGAATTGGACGTTTAACTGACCCACCTAGGTGCTAATCCAGCCATATTTTGAGTCTTGATTCTTCTTCCCTTCATTTTTTAAAAATTTTTTTCTTTTTTTTCTTCTTCCCTTCAATATTAATGATCATAATTAATGTTCAAATAGCACTTTTTAGGGCAGCCCGGGTGACTCAGCGGTTTAGCACCGCCTTCAGTCCAGGGTGTGATCCTAGAGACTCAGGATCGAGTCCCATGTCGGGCTCCCTGCATGGAGCCTGCTTCTCCCTCTGCCTGTGTCTCTGCCTCTCTCTCTCTGTTTCTCATTAATAAATAAATAAAAATCTTTAAAAAAAAACACTTTTTAGTGTATAAAGCATATATTATGTGTGTGTACACATGTGCATGCATATTTTATTGTTTTTAAAGGTTTTATTTATTTTAGAGAGAGTGCACACGCATGCAAGCAAGCAGTGGGAGAGGTGCAGAGGGAGAGGGAGAGAGAATAAGCAGGCTGCATGCTCAGCGCAGACCCCAACACAGAGATCTGTCCCATGATCCTAAGATCATGACCTGAGCCAAAACCAAGAGTTGATTGCTTAACCGATTGAGCCACCCAGGTGTTCCAAAATATTTTATTACTTCAACATTTCAGTCACTTAGGAACCATCATCCCTTTTTTATGGAAGAGTTGGTAGACTTAGAAACAGTGATACCTGGTTCATGGTCTTATAAAGGACAGAATCTGATCATACTCTGTTTTCATCATATACTTTTTAAAAATTAAAAATTGTGAATATTTTGGGTAATGAAATATTTTAACAGAGTAGAGAATATAATATCTAATGACTTGCTAAATTTTTTTAAAATCTGGTTTTAAAAGAAACACAGCTGAAGCTTTTCCATTCTTCATACTTCTTTCCTTTTAGCAGTGGCAACTAGTATTCATTGTCCTGAGATTGGTGTATCATTTTTATTTATGCTTTTATTCTCTTACCAAATCTGTGCATACCCGTAAGTACAAGATTTTGTTTTAACTTTTATACAGTTGCTCTGATAAAAAGGAATGTATATTTTTCTAGCTTGTTTTTCTTCAGCTCACTACTTGCTTGCTCACTTAATAAATAGGCACTGTTTTCAGTCCAGGGGAATTTGATGAGGGATAAGGAACATGAAGCTACCTGCCTACTAATGTTTCACTGAGGAAGACATATAATAAGTAAATAACATTGATGGGTTGATCAGGTTAGGATAAATACCATGAAAGAAAAGTAAACAGGATCAGGCAGTAGAGAATGATGATGGGAGTGTGATGGTGATGTATGCTATTTTAGATAAAATGGCCAGGGAAGTCCTTTTTCAAGAAGTGACATTTGAGCAGCTGAATTAATTGAAAGAGTAAGCATGTTAAATAAGATCAGAGAGAATCAGGGAAGGAAACATCAAGTGCAGAGGCCTTGGGGTAGAAATGACCTGGGAGCACTTGAGAAATGGAAGGAAGTCAAGACTGGTTAAGTGCAAAGTTAGGTAGGAGAATGGTCAAAAATGACTTTGGAGGAGAGACCAAAGACCAGATCATATAGGCCCTATAAAGTGACGTTAAGGAATTTGGATACCGAGTATATTGGGAAGCCACTGAATAACTTTTGAGCAGAGGAATGACATAGTTTGACATACTTTTAAGATTACTTTTATACTAGAATTCTGTACAGTAGAAAAGAATCCATGGAAGCACTTTCTATATTGGAATGGGAAGATCTTGAAGATACACTGTTTATATGTTTCTACCTTTTTCTTTTTAGAATACCTTTTTCTTTTAGAATACCACTGTTTGTTTCTTTATTTTTAAAGATTTTATTTATTTATTCATGAGAGAGACAGAGAGAGGCAGAGACACAGGCAGAGGGAGAAGCAGGCTCCATGCAGGGAGCCCGATGTGGGACTCGATCCCGGGACTCCAGGATCACGCCCTGGGCTGAAGGCAGGGGCTCGACTGCTGAGTCACCCAGGAGCCCCTAGAATACTACTGTTTATGTAAAAAAAAAAAAAAAAAATCTTTACGTATATATTTGTGTTAAATTTCTCTGTAAGGACATGAAAGACAATTGCAAAAGATTACCTGTGAGAAGGGGAATTGATTGATAATGGGTAGAAAAATGGGAAAGGAAACTGAGTATTCTATACTTCTTTATATGTCCAGAAAATTTTTAAAAATCGTACAGAAGTGTGTATACATCTTAGGTTTCCCACCATCTGAATTTTCACAAACTGGGCTCACCCATATAATCACCCATAGGAGAAGCAGAACTTTGCCAGAATGGCAGAAACTCAGGGTTCCTTCTAGTTAATATCCTTCCTTTCAAAGGGAAATCACCATCCTGACCTCTAACATAGCATGCGTTAGTTTTGCCTCTGTATCATACCAGCACTTGTAAGTCTGTTTTACTTATCACAATTTTAGATTTACTATTTTTATTTTGTATTATGCAAGTAATGCATTAGTAGATTCCCTTTGTGAAAAGGTTAAAACAATACAGAAATATATAAAAGAAAGCACAAGGACCCCTTTCTCCTGCCATTTCCCTATTCCATGCCTCTTCCCAAAGGTAACTGCAATGGTTAATTTAGGGTATCCCTTCTAGTCCTTGTTTGTTTACTTGCACAAATAATTTTTCCCTTTTTTTGATTAATACATAATATGGTTAGTACTTGATGATGGTGGTAGTGAGACTAGTAATTAACATTTATTAAACACTGTCTAGTAGTTAACTACAGTCTAGTGTTTGGTCTTCAGGCTTCTCTCCTCATGATGTCTCCTTCCTCAACTTAATCTCCCTGTTATTCATATATTCTCTCTCCCACATATCTGCACTACCCCCCTCTGGCCTCGTTCAGTTCCAGTGTTACTAAGTAAGGATTAGCCAGACCTGTCTACTTTCTATTTTAGGAAATGGCTGTGTTCATGTCTATCCACACATTTTATTGTTTGTTTGTTTGTGTCCCTATGCCTTTGAAATTTCTCCTCTTAGACAGTGGAGGATATTTTGGTTTACTTTGTTACCTTTACTGGCTGGCCCAGATGGCTTTTATCCTATACCCTTGATGTAGCTACAGCTGAGTTCAGCCCTTCTTAAAGTTTGTTTATAACATAACATTTTATAGTTTGTGACCTGTTACAAGCTTTCAGTCTTTCCTTGAATTTCTTTAGTTTAATGTAGCTAATTTTGCCTACCTGGCAGAAATTATCCCATGTAGGATTGAGGAAGTCCGTCCACACAGGAGGAATATTCCTTTACTTCTGTGCACCTTTGCCCCCATAGTTCTAGGTTCTAGCCATGGTTCATAGTAATCTGGATAGACAGCTGGTTGATCAGCATCTAGAACAATGCTTGGCGCTTACTACAGCTCAGTTAAATATATATTGAATGAATGAATCAATTGGCTCTTAAGATGAAACATAACTTGGTGTGACTTTTCTTTAAGCACTGTCATGGCAGTTCACAGTGTATGGCACATAACAAGCAATCAGTTATTTTTTTTTTTGCAATCAGTTATTATTTCTTGAATTTAACTCAGTTTTATTTTATGTTTACCTGGGTTTTAACTGAACACATGCATTCTTTTCTGAGAAGATGGTCTTTGATGCTACAGTTTGCTAGAACTTGTCAAAGGCAGAGCTGCAGCATTATTTGCAATAGACACAAGAAAGGAAACCTCTTTTGTTACTGGCATCCTTTTCCCAAACATTACTCCTGCTAAATATTTCACTAGCTGCTTATTGTCTATCGTTGGCTGTGTAGTGACCACGGAATTGTACCCACTCCTATCAGTGCAGTGCCACTGCATATCATTCCCTCTTATCATCTCCAAGAGTTTCGCAACGGTGCAGAGGGGTGGTCTGCCTAGAGAAGATTCCTTAACTTAACATGCATAGGCAATAAGAATTATAAAATTATAAACTCCTTTTCTGGGTTAAACTTTGAATTTATTCTCTTTAAATCTATTCAGCATTCTTAGTTTTAAACATAGATAGTTCCGTTTTTCTGGCAATTACGTGTGTTACAATTTATTTGAGGATTTGTTACCTCTTATGAAAAAAATAATATAAAATTTGATAAAATTTGCATCTAATAATGGGATTTCAATAGTACTATGGCTCTTGACCAAACATTACAAGTCTGTGAAACACTTTACGGAGGATAGTGACCTTAGGGAAGAGTTAGATTTTCTGAAGACTTTTGTTGACATTAGAACACACTGTGTTTAAAATTGACATGGCATGTGACATGGATTTTAGTGAAGAGAAGTACTTCAGAATCAAACCTTAGAAAGGCGTTTGGGGGCTTTGTGGTCTAAGGAAAGGAAATGAAAGTCTAGAGGTTTATTTGTTTGGATAGTATATAGGAAGTAGAGCAATCTGTTTTTGCTTTTGGTTATTGTTTGGCATTGCCTGTGAGATACTTGTTCCTATTATGAAGAAAGGAAGTGAGTGGTCACAGGACTTTAGGGAAAATTTCTCTTTCTAGACTTAGGTTTTTTTTGTTTTATTTTGTAATGTTTTTCTGCTCTTATTTAAAAATAACATACTTTTCATTTAGATTGACTTAGCTCTATGTTAATTACAATCCTTGACATAAGGGATCTTACCCCTTTCCCTCTTTCTCTTTCAGGACTTGAACCAATGAAAGAATCTTATGGCACTTATGAAGATAAATGTCACTTCTCCCTTTTTAATTGGAACTTCTGCTTAGAACCTGTATGTGACTTTTCATCCGTGAGCTGTTCTTTGAGTGGCCACTGACTGACTTTGAGTTGCAGGAAGGTCTCTGAAGAGTTATATCAAATGACGTCAATGGCCAGCTTGTTTTCCTTTACTAGTCCAGCAGTAAAGCGATTGTTGGGCTGGAAGCAAGGTGATGAAGAGGAGAAATGGGCGGAAAAGGCAGTTGATGCTTTGGTGAAAAAGCTCAAAAAGAAAAAGGGTGCCATGGAAGAACTGGAGAAAGCCTTGAGCAGTCCAGGACAGCCGAGCAAATGTGTCACTATTCCCAGATCTTTAGATGGACGCTTGCAGGTTTCCCACAGAAAAGGCTTACCCCATGTTATATATTGTCGTGTTTGGCGCTGGCCTGATTTGCAGAGTCATCATGAGCTCAAGCCATTGGATATTTGTGAATTTCCTTTTGGATCTAAGCAGAAAGAAGTTTGTATCAACCCATACCACTATAAGAGAGTGGAGAGTCCAGGTAGGTTTTACCTTGAGAAGAATTACAAAAACTTGTCTCCTTCTGATTTACATTTCAGTGGACTTAGTAATTAAAAGGCTGTATTAGCCTTGTGTTTCCTTCAAGATTTTAATCTTGGAAGAAGTAGTGGATTTTGAGTTTAACTCTTTATATATAAATACAATAGCTTCCAAGTAGTTAGTTCTAATTCATGTTTGATGTAAACAGTCAGTCATGTGTACATGAGTTGGAGTCCATCATATATGTGCTCTGCCTTCCTGTGGATGACGTGTCTGTCTTTTGTCTGAAACCTAAGCTCCATGTGTGTATTACATCCCACTCCTTTTTGTCTACTCAGGAAGTCTGTTCATACAGGTGTCACCGCTCTCCCCAGTATTACATTTTCCCTCTCTATTCGATTATTTCTGTCAGCACATGAGCATGTCATGCTACTGCCCGTCCTAAAACAAGTTAAAAAAGAGTTCTAGTTTCGACTCCATTGTTTTTATCTTCACGTTACTTTCCTCCTGTTCTTTCTGGACACCTTCCACTTGGTTTCTCTCTCCTAGCATTTGACTTGTCAAGGTCACTGATGACTGCCTCCTTCTAGAGGAGGGGTCATTCTCAGCCCTCATCTTACTTGCCTTCTCAATGTCATTTGAGACACTTGCTCTCCTTCCCTCCTACTCACAACTTTTTCTTTATTGGCTTCTGAAACGCAACACTCTTCTGGTTCTCCTTCTTCTCTGGCTGTTTTTGTTTAGCCTCTATTGGCTTATTTTTCTGTTTTCACATGACTCCATCCCTAGACCTTTTCTACATCCATAGTTTTCCTCCTTGGGTGCTCATACTGTCACATGTCCTAAAACTGTAAGCTTGTGCTCACATTTTGAACTCCAGAGTGAACTTCCCTTTTGAGTTTTAGACTTCTGTATTCCCAGATTCAGTTGCCCACATGACATCTCTACTTGAATGTCTCATAAACATGTCAGATTTAATATGTCTAAGTAGGACTTTTGATTCCTCCCCCAGTCCTTTTTTCCTCTAGTTTTCCCTGTTGAAGTAAATGGCATCAGCATTCATGTAATTGCTACCTAGAAGTCATCTTTTATTTCTCTCTTTGAAGTCCTGATTTGAGCTATGAGCAAATGCTGCTTGCTCTACCTTCAAAATGTATCTTGATGTCCTCTTTTACCATCTCTAACACAACTATTCTAGTATAGACCGTCATCATCTTTCATCTTAAATAGTGCCCTGATTGGTCTCTCTGCCTCTTCTCTTTCCCGCCAACCCATTCTGTTTTCTGCACAGCAGCCAGAGTGGTCTTTAGAGAATATCAAATCATGGGTGCGCCTGGGTGGCTTAGTTGGTTAAACATCCGGTGCTTGGTTTCGGCTCAGGTCATGGTCTTGGGGTTGTGAAATTGAGCCCCCATATCGGGCTCCATGCTCAGCAGGGAGTCTGCTTGAGATTCTCTCTGTCCAAAATAAATAAGCCTAAAAAAAAAAGAATATAGCAAATCACATCTGTGCCTGCTCAAAACATTTGTCACACTTAGATCTCCACAAGACCCTACATAACCTCTCTTCAAACTTCCTCTTTTCCATTGACTTGCCCTACTACTGCATCTAGATTTTTTTTTTTTCTCTCTCTCAATTCTGCTTACTCTCCTGCCTGATCTTGTCATGGCATATTTTCTCACTCCGTTTAGTCCTTGCTCAAATACCCCCATCTACTTGATGCTAGATATGATGTGTTAGATATTTATTTTATTTATTAATTGGTATAAGCAGAAACTTACTCTCTCATTCTGTACTGCATCACCAGTGCCTAGAATAGTAGTAGTACCTGGCTCTTAGTATATGGTGCACAGTAAATATATTTTTTAATTTTTATTTAATTTTGTTTTTTTTTTAAGATTTATTTATTTATTCATGATAGAGAGAGAGAGAGGCAGAGACACAGGCAAAGGGAGAAGCAGGCTCCCTGCCGGGAGCCCGACGCAGGACTCAACCCCGGGACTCCAGGATTGCGCCCTGGGCCAAAGGCAGGCGCCAAACCGCTGAGCCACCCAGGGATCCCCTATATATATATATTTAAAGATTTTATTTATTTATTCATGAGAGAGAGAGAGGCAGAGACACAGGCAGAGGGAGAAGCAGGCTCCATGCAGGGAGCCCGATGTGGGACTCGATCTCAGGACTCCAGGATCACACCCTGAGCCAAAGGTGGACACTCAACCGCTGAGCCACCCAGGTTGATATATACTAAGTGCTCAGTTGTTGAGCCTTTTTTGGAAAAACTCCAGGATCAGGCCCCGGGCTGCAGGCAGTGCTAAACTGCTGCGCCACCGGGGCTGCCCCCCTAAATATATTTTTTTAATGAATGAATCGTATAAGCGGAGATACTAATTGGATGCATTATCTATCTTTTTTTTGTTTGTTTTTTTCATTAGCTATCTTTTGTTGCATAACAGGTTAACTAAGTGGCTTAATACACATTTATTATCTCACAGTTTCTGTGAGCCAGGAGTCCAGACATGGCTTAACTTGAGTCCTTTGCTAGGCTATATTTAAGATGTTGGTCAGGGCTTAGGTCTCATATAAGGTTCAGCTGAGGAAGGATCTGCTTCCCACCTCATGTGATTATTGATGGAGTTCAGTTCCTTGTGGGCTGTTGGACTCTTCTTGATGGTTGTTGACTAATGGCTGCTTTTATTTGTTTGACACCTTTTTCATAGTTGCTCACATTCATGGCGGGCTTACTTCTTTAAAGACAGTAAGAAGAGAGAGGGTCTTGGCAGAAGGGCATTCATTATATTCTTTTACCATGTCATCACATACATCCTATCAACTTTTCCATATTCTTTTGGTTAGTAGCAAATCAGAGATAATAACATAAAGGATGAGGATTATGCAAGGGTGAATATCAAGAGTTGGGAATGATGGTGGCCACAGAGGATGTCTACCATGCTGGATTTCACATGGAGATAATAAGCCTGGTATGGTAAAAAAAAAAAAAAAGCTCTGGAAATAACATTAGGTATGGAAACTAGGTAAGGGAACAGCAGTGATGGCGCTGTTAGGGATAAAAGACCTATGCATGAAATTTTAGTATATCACGGTTAAAAAAAGATTCTGAAAGCTCCCAGAGAGAAAAAAAACAGGACATATACAAAGGACTGGAAGTGAGAGCATTGGCTTTCTCAAAGCAGTTCTGGATTCTAGAAGACAATGAAGCAGTACCCCTAAAATTCAGAAAAAGTTGTTTATGCTGGAATCTGTCTGCAGACAAACAAAAGACAAGATATTTTCATATACGCAAGGACTAAAAATTTATCTTCCTTTTATCCTTCTTAAGAAATAGCACATTAAAAAAAAAGAAAAAAGAAATAGCACATTAGGTCAAGGAAATGGGGTTCAACAGGAGAAGTCTAAGGACTTGAGATCCGTAGGAGACTTAAGGAGTACCAGTCTAGATCATAGAAGGATGAAGAGGTCAGAAAATGAGTTAATAGATAATTTGTTTATTTGTGGCATCTGGAAAATAGTACTGATAGAAACTTAACAGATCTTTTAGACTTCTAGAAATATTAGTGGTATGTACTTAAGATTAAGCAAATGAAGCAACAAGTCAATAATCAGCTTTACTTAAAGCACTGTTCAAAAAAATATAATCATAGTACATATTTGGCTCAGGAATGAATAATATTTGTACATATAATAAACACCAGCTGTTGATTTAGCCAACATTTTTTATGTAGCTTTATTGAGGGGAATGGGAATGGGAGTGGGGTAGAATGATATAAGGAAAAAATTACTTCATTTACCACAATAGCAAATTGGCAAATGATACCTTGGCAAATTAATACCAACAACATAAGCATATTATTTAGCATTGCGCAAAGTAAATGTTCGAAGAGATGGCTAAGAGTTTAAATTTGTTGTTTCTGGAAGCAGTATGAGAGGAGCCTTAGATTGCTGTATTTGCTCTCTCTTACAGCATGTCTTTTTAAACTGTATTTTGGAGGAAAATATTGTTAAAGTGAGTATAAACAATAGAGGAAGTCAGTGATTTTAGCTCTGCTTCTAAAAAGTAAAGGAATCCTTACTGGATTGAATTCCTCAGTAGTTATTTCACTAAGTCTTTCAGATTGCTAGCCAGCTAAACATAGAAATTCTTGCTGTCTAATGTCCTACTCTCTAATGGCAGCTGTCCCATCATTCTGTAAAGGGAACAGCAGTTAGTAATATACAGTAGAACGAAACAATTGTAATCAAATGTTAACCACATAATTACAACACAGATTCACTACAGAGGAAAGAGGCAAAAACCAGTAAGAATACTGACTTTTACAGAGCCTCTCATTACTCAGGTATATCCCTAGTTCTGGGAGGGGAAGTATGACCTAGTTAGCTTAAAAACAGTTTGATTTAGTTGCTGCTGAATGATGTCAAAATGAGATTTTTGGAAGCAAAATTAAATTGACAAATAGGGGAAAGTTTTGAAAAAAATGAACTGATACAGTAAGAGTTTAAAGAAATCAGGTTTGTTTGGATTTTATAGGGAAAAGTAGTCCGACATTTCTGTGATGGGTCATTTGGGTCTTCAGAGAACGTGAATAGTTGAATAAGAACCTTTTAAAAAAATATATCTCAAAATATTTAGGCTTTGTTGGATGCATTTTCATTATCATGTTTATAAAACTGTTTTTTAAAGATTTTATTTATTTATTTATTCATGAGAGACACAGGGAGAGAGAGAGGCAGAGACACAGGCAGAGGGGGAAACAGGCTCCATGCAGGGAGCCAGATGTGGGACTCGATCCCGGGTCTCCAGGACCACACCCTGGGCTGAAGGCGGCGCTAAACTGCTGAGCCACCCAGACTGCCCTAAAACTGATTTTGAATGGAAGACTTCTATGTAGGAAATGTTACTATTTTCACTAGGGAAAACTGAACTTGAACAAGAAAACTTGTTCTTCTTTATGAAGAACATAAAATGTGAAATCTCTCAAACTAAGAAAGGTGAAATGTTCAAAATTAGAAACACAGAGGCCTTCAGGCATCTTTATAGCTGACCTCAGTATCACACTTTGATCTTAGCTCCTAGGTCAGTGCTCAGTCCAAGCAACTATGCTTTCTTCTCTTCCTCCTAGAGTGTCCCCAGTTTCTTCTCTACTATCCCTGCACCTGGCACTCCCTGTTCTTTAATGGTAATCGGATGTTACCTTTTCCACAGCATTTTGTGTGATTCTTGCTAGCTGGAAATGCTCACCTCTGTTGAACTCTCACTACATATGATTGTTTTTAAATATGCCTTCTTTCCTATAGAACAGGAATGGTATCTTTTCTCGATTTTCTCTTTTCCTGAGCTCATTATACAGGCTTAAATCCTTAGCTTTTGGTATAGTTATTATGTAAATACCCATTCAGGGTTCTACAAAGCAGTTCTTCCTGAAAGTAAATTGTTTCAGTGGGTTTGCAGTTTTACTGAATCCTTTCCATCTACCCTTTAATTTGCATGAGGTACTTGCTTTTGTCTTTGCTGACAGATGACTTTTGGTTTTTCTCTTTCAGTCTTACCTCCAGTATTAGTGCCTCGTCACAATGAATTCAATCCACAACACAGCCTTTTGGTTCAGTTTAGAAACCTGAGCCACAACGAGCCGCACATGCCACAGAATGCAACGTTTCCAGATTCCTTCCACCAGCCCAACAACACTCCTTTTCCCTTATCTCCAAATAGCCCTTATCCCCCTTCCCCTGCTAGCAGCACATATCCCAATTCCCCAGCAAGTTCTGGACCAGGAAGTCCATTTCAGCTCCCAGGTAAGAATTTATTTTATTGATTAAAAAAAAAAAATGACACCTGAAAATCAGCAGTTGTCCTTATACTGCTGGTCGTTTGGGTGAATTGTTATATGCTAAGAGGTGGCTGTTTTTGACTCTGTGTTCTTTGGTAATTACTTGATTTCTAGAGTTTTGGATTTTATTTTGCCATGTACTGTATGTTTTTTAAAAATGGAAGTAGCTTTATTTTTCCTAGCAATAGAAAAAACAGTCCTAAAATTTTTATACAACCATTAAAAGATCCAAGAATAGCCAGAGCAATCTTGAGAAAGAAGAATCAATCTGGAGGTATCACACTGCCTGATTTCAAACTATATTACAAAGCTATGGTAATTTTTTAAACAAATTTTTAAAAGTTGAAATATAATTAACTTACAATTTTAAAGATAACTATAATTAAAACAGTGTAGTATTAACATTAAAATAGACATATAGATCAATAGAGCAGAAGACAGAGCCCAGAAATAAACCCACACTTAGACAGTTAATTTATGACAAAGGAGGTGAGAATATACAATGGGGAAAGGACAGTCTATCTAATAAATGATGTTGGGAAAATGGACAGCCACATGCAAAAGAATGAAACCGGACCACTGTCTGATACTGTATGCAAAAAAAAAAAATTAAAAGTTATTTAAATACTTTAACATGTGACCTAAAACCATAAAACTCCTAGAAGAAAACCTAGGCAGGCAGTTCTTTGACATTGATCTTGGTGCTGAGTTTTTGAATTGATAAGAAAAGCAAAAAACAACAGAAGCAAAAAATAAACAAATGGGACTACATCAAACAAAAAGCTTACGCACAGCAAAGGAAACCATTAATAAAATGAAAGGGCAACCTACTGAATGGAGAAAATATATAAAAATCCTGTCTGATGAGAGGATAGTATGTGAAATGTATAAGGAAGTCCTTCAACTCAATAGCACAAAAACAAACATTCCAGTTAAGAAATGGGTAGAGGACCTGAATAGCCCTTCTTCCCATGAAGACATACACATGACCAACAGGTACATGAAAATGTGCTCTACATCATTAGTCACCAGGGAAATACAAATCAAAACCACAATGAGTGGTTTACCTGTTACAGGGGCTATTATCAGGAAGGCAAGAAATAACAAACGTTGGCAAAGATGTGGAGAAAACAGGCACTATTGGTGGGAATGCAGATTGGTACAGCCACTGTGAAAAACAGTATGGAGTTTCCTCAAAAAATTAAAGATAAAAAAAAAATTAAAGATAAAAGTGCCACATAATCCAGTAATATCTTGGTACTTAACCTGAAGAAAACAAAAACACTAATTTCAAAACGTTTACACCCTTGGGTTTGTTGCAGTATTATTTATAATAGTCAAGATGTGGAAACAACCTAAGGGTTCATCAATGAATGAATGGATAAAGAAATTGTGGTATATTCAGCCATAAAAAAGAATGAGATCTTGTCGTTTGTGACAACATAGCTGGACCTTGAGGGTATTATGCTAAATGAAGTAAGTCAGGGAAAGACAAATACCATATGATTCTTCTATTATATGTGGAATCTTAAAAAGAAAAAAAAAAAAAGGAATCCAAGTTCCTAGGTATTGAGAACAGGATGGTAGTTGCCAGAGACAAGGGGTAGGGGAAATGGGTGAACTGGTTTTAGGTTTTTTTGATTGAAATAAATTGTATGTTGTTAAAAAAAAAAAAGAAAGAAAATAGAATTTTGGAGAGATGATCCTTTAAGAATAATGAAAAAAGTTTCAGTTTCTCGTTTCATCCTACCTTCTTTCTCTCACTGCTTGGTTTTTCTCCATAGTGTGTGTTACAATCTAACAGACTGTCTATTTATATTCTGCCCTTTTCTCCTTGCCTTGACTATAAACTCCATGGAAAGGGGAATTTTAGCCTCTCTTGTTTACTGCTACATCCCCAGTCTCTGTATCAGAGACTGGTGTACAGTAGACCCTCAGTAAATATTTGTTACATGAGTGGATGAACTTCAGAAATACATATATACGTTTATAACTAGCTGTGCAGAGTGACTTGCCACCATGACTGAAGAGGAAAGCCAAATGGTGCTAACTTGAAAGGTTTCATCGGGAGTCCTATATGCATGAAGGGCAGAGTGTTCTTTTTTGTTTTTTTAGAGTGTTCTAGTAGGTTTTCAAAAACCTAAATACAGAAAGAGGCTCTGTGTTTGATGACTACCATGTGTAGTAGGTAATCTGGAAACTGGTAGTGTTATTTACATATCATTGGATCATTTATTTGCCCAAACAACTAAATTACATATTATCAGGCATTAAAAATAAAAGTTTTACCAAAAAAAAGGTAGTCCTATTTGACTTACATAGTTTCATATAATTTATATAATATGAAATACCATTTGTTGAGTGCCTTTGTCTAACCAGTACTGTGATGAAAGATATTGCATTAAATTTAATCTTCAGAATAACCATGTGAGATAGATAGTGCTCCTATTATACAGGTGGAGAAAGAAATTGATATTCACTTGAAGATTTTAAGTAACTTGCCTAAGGTTTCTGACCTAGGTTTCTCTGACTCTGAAGTCTGCTTTTTTGACTTTACTACTTGTCACATCATTATAGACTTGGGAAAGTTAAAAGGCAACCCAGTTATCTTTGATTGGGTAACTGATGAACTGGTTTGCCTGGAGAAAAAGTTCATAAGCAGATTTTATAAAGTTCCCAAATTTTATTAATGGCATGTCATGTATGGACGCATCATTATTTCACTCTGTCAAGAAGTATTTGAATGTCTACGGTTGCATGTGGAGTCATGTGTAAGTATACTATTTCTGGTTTCTTTACTCCATCAGTTGATGCAGTTTTTAGTTTTTATTTTTTCAAGAGGAATTAAGTATCAACTGTTTAACTTGCTGTTAGGTATCTGTACCAAAACTAATTTTCATACTTTCATACTTTGGTTACGGTTGTGTGTCAAAATACGTAAACCTTTGGGTGAAAGATTATATTAAGTATTTATAGTACTGAGACAAAGAAGTAATACCTGTAGTTTTTGTTTCTTGTTTTTTGGGGTAAGATTTTATTTATTTATTTGAGACAGCGCAAATGGGACGGGGAGAGGCAGAGGTAGAGGGAGAAGCAGGCTCCCCACTGAGCAAGGAGCTTGATCCTGACCTGAGACAAGGGCAGACACTTAACAGAGTCACCCAGGCGCCCCTAGCTGTAGCTTTTGCAACTCAAGAGATTTTCTAGTTAATATTCAGATTTCCTAAGAATTAGCTAGTCATTTAGTAGGGCACGACGGCCATTTTAGGATGTTGAAAAGAATTAGATGTCTAGCTGCTGTTCGTGTTGGTACATTTAGTAGGAGTATGGTTTTCAGTATTAATTAACAGCATACAGTATGTGATCTTGATAACTTAAAAGTGTCTCTGTAGAGATACCCTCAAATGAGAATAATTTTTGTCCTTTGGATTGGTTTGTAGTTGTTGCAGTTTATCCCACCGTGTAATTCTAATTAACATAAAGACAACATTCTTGACCTTCAATTCAGTTGCAGTGAATTTTAGCACTGATCTTCCTGGATTGGACTGAATACGTGTGGACCTTTAGCAAGGTTTTCAGTGGCTAATGGGTGTGCTGTCTTTTCTCTTGACCTAAGATAGCATCCTACATTGTTTTTGTCTCTAATGGTCATTGGCAAACTGTGCTGATAATCTTAGGAAATTTTTAATGCTTTTTAAAGCAGGATGAAGATACTAACTCTTCTTTTGGGACTTGTTTTGTTTTCTTTTTAGCTGATACTCCTCCTCCTGCCTATATGCCACCAGATGATCAAATGGGTCAAGATAATTCCCAGCCAATGGATACAAGCAATAATATGATTCCTCAGATTATGCCCAGTATATCCAGCAGAGGTAAGAGAAATACTAATCATAATTTGTTGTTACTCTTACCTTGCTTATTTTTAACTCCTTACTACTTTTTAAAAACTTTATTAAAAAAAACTTTATTGTATAATTTACAACCATAACATTTATCCATTGCAAGTGTATGATTCAGTAATTTTTAGTAAATGTATAGTTTTGCTCTGTCACCACAATCTAGTTTTAGAACATTTTCATCCTTTTAAAAGCTACCTTGTCTGTATTTGCAGTATATCTCTGCTCCTGTCCTTGCTCCAGAGACCTTCTAATCTGTTGTCTGTATATAGATTTACCTTTTCTAAAACATTGTCATGTAAGTAGAATTGCATAATGTGTAATCTTTTGCATCTCACTTCTTTCACTTAGCATAATGTTTTCAAGGTTCTTTTAGGTTGAAACATGTATCAGTAGTTTTTTCCTTTTTATTGCTGAACAGTTTGCCATTGTGTAGAGATGTACCACATTTTTTTATCCATTCACCAGTTGGTGGACATTTGAATTATTTTTAATTTTTGGCTAGTATGACCAATACTGTTAGGAATATTTGCATATAACTCTTTGTGTGGGCTTTATTTATATTTTTCTTGGATTAATTCCTAAGAATAGAATTTCTGAGTCAATATGAATTTAACTATTTAAGGAAAACCGCCAAATTTCTTCAGAGTAGCAGTGCCGTTTTATATTTTTATGAGTAACATATGAGCATTCCAGTTTCTCCATATGCTTTTGATACTTGTTATTGTCTGTCTTTTTGAATGTACCCATTTTAGTGGGTATGAAGGGTCTCATTGTGGTCTTAATTTGCATTTTTGTAATTAGTAATGATGTTGAGCATTTTTATGTACTTATTAGCCATTCATGTATCTTTTTTTCATGAAATACTTAAATCTTTTGCCCATTTGTTTAATTGGGCTATTTGTTTTATTGTTGAGCTGTTAAGAGTTCTTTATATATTTTGGATAGAAATCCTTTACTAGATGTATGATTTGCAGATCTCTCTCAATCTGCATTATTTTCGCATTTTGAAGCATAAAGGTTTTTTTTTTTCTACACCTTTATTTTCTTTTCTGTAAATTAAAATCGTTGAGGAGTACAATAACATGGCTTCTGTGGCAAATGGCTTTAGCAGGAACTTCACTTTGGAATTTGACACAAACCATGCTACTGTTTCCATTCATGAGCACAAGTTACTTTTCCCCAGATAACTCCGGTTTTGTTCAGTTTGCCTCCAGGAGTCACTGTGTTGTTCTTTGCTTTGTACACAGAAGCACATCTCTTGCCTAGATAGGAGTTCAGTTTCATTTCAAGCATAAATATCTTCAGTTTTAAGAAGAGCTGTGTGCTCCTTATGGTTCTATAGACCTCACTTAGAGCCAGTAAAAATGGCCTTGGACCACAGCCTCCCAGATGCATTTGTCGTTTTAATAGTCCTGTTTCCAGCAGGCCTCCATAGGCTGCAAGATGACAGAAAGAGCTGAAAGTTTTTAATTTTGGCAGAGTCTAGTTACCAGTTTTTCCTTTCCTTGTTCCTGCTTTTGGTGTTGAATCTGGGAAATCTTTGTTTTTCCCAAAATCATGAAAATTTTCTATTTTGTCATCTTCTAGAAATTCTATAGGCTTAGCTTTTACATTTAGGTCTGTGATTCCTTTTGAGTTAAGCGTATTGTATGTTAAAAATGTAAATTCAGGGGATCCCTGGGTGGCGCAGCGGTTTGGTGCCTGCCTTTGGCCCAGGGCGCGATCCTGGAGACCCGGGATCGGGTCCCACATCGGGCTCCCGGTGCATGGAGCCTGCTTCTCCCTCTGCCTTTGTCTCTGCCTCTCTCTCCCTCTCTGTGTGACTATCATAAATAAATAAAAAATTAAAAAAAAAATGTAAATTCATCTTTGTGCATATAGATACCCATTTGGTCCTGGCACTATTTTGTTGAAAAAAGTATCTACCATTTCTCCATCGAAATGCCTTGGCATGTTTTTCAGAAATCAATTGAACAAATTTAAGAGTTTATTACAGGACTCTTAACTTGTTCATTGATTTGTAGGTGTATACTTCATAGTACTTGAGATAGTTAAGCTTCATACTAAGTTTTGAAAACGAGAAGTGTGATTCCTTCAACTTTATTCTTTTTCAGAATTGTTCAGCACTTGAGCATTATTTGCATTTCTGTATCATTTTAGTACCAGTTGTTAATTTCTGCTTCCCCAAAATCCCCTCCTTGGATTTTGGTAGAGATCACATTGAATCTCTAAATCACTTGGGGAGGGATCCCTGGGTGGCTCAGCGGTTTAGTGCCTGCCTTTGGCCCAGGGCATGATCCTGGAGTCCCGGGATCGAGTCCCGTGTCAGGCTCCCGGCATGGAGCCTGCTTCTCCCTCCTCTTGTGTTTCTGCCTCTCTCTCTCTCTCTCTCTCTCTCTCTCTCTCTCTCTCTCTGTCTATCATAAATAAATAAATCTTTAAAAAAAAATAAATCACTTGGGGAGGTTTCCCATCATCTTCCAGTCCACAGGTGTGGCATGTCATTCCATTTATTTAGATCTTCCATTTCCTAGTATAAATTTTTTACTTTTGCTTCTCTTTATAGATGTATTCCTAAGTGAATAGAATTTGGTTTCTACTTAACTAAATATATTGAAATACAAGTGATTTTCATATATTAATCTTGTAACCTGTAACCTTACTGAACTTATTTATTAGTTCTAGTAGGGTTTTTGTGTGTGTGTGTGTATGTGTGTGGGTACCTGGATTCCTTAGGGTTTCCTAAATACAGGAACATGTCAATAAAAAACAGCATTTAATTGGGACGCCTGGTTAGCTCAGTGGTTAGGCATCTGCCTTCTGCCCAGGACATGATCCTGGGGTTCTGGGATCGGGTCCTGCACCAGGCTCCCGGCATGGAGCCTGCTTCTCCCTCTGCCTGTGTCTCTGCCTCTCTCTCTCTCTGTGCCTCTCATGAATAAATAAATAAAATCTCTTTTTTTTTTAAACAGCTTTAAAAAAAATTTTTTTTTTTTTGCTATCCAATCTGGATGCCTTTAATATTTTTCTCTCTCTCTCATTATTAGAGGGCATATACAAAAAGCCTGTAGCTCTCATTATCCTTGATGGCAAAAGACTGAATTACTTTCCCCCCTACAATGGGGAACAAGAGAGCCTGGTCTCACTACTTCTGTTCACCATTTTTCTAGAGCACTAGCCATAAACTATTAGTTCTCTTCTATTCTTAGTTTGTTAAGAATTTTTACCGTGAACGGATGTTGCTTTTGTCAGAAGCTTTTTCTGTATCTGTTGAGGTGATTAGATGAGTTATTTTCCCTTTTTTCTAGTTAATGTGTGCTACATGAACTTACTTTCTGATGTGAAAGCAGGCTTTTATTCCTGGGATAATTCCCAAATGGTCATGGTATATAATCCTTTTTAATATATTTCTTTCTTTTTTTTTTTTTTTAATGTATAGGGATAGTTATTTTCTTTATTTATTCATGAGAGACACAGAGAGAGAAAGAGAAAGAGACACACACAGGCAGAGAGAGAAGCAGGCTCCATGCAGGGAGCCTGACTTGGGACTCGATCCCAGGTCTCCAGGATCAGGCCCTGGGCTGAAGGTGGCGCTAAACAGCTGAGCTACCCAGGCTGCCCTTTAATATATTTCTAGATTAGATTTACTGATATTTTGCTGAATATTTTTGCTTGTATATTCATGAGGGAGGGATAGTGGTAGTTTTATTGTGATGTCTTTATTTAGCATTGGTATCGGGGTAATAATGACCTCATGGAGTAAGTTGGGAAGTGTTCTCTCCTATTTTTGGAAGAGCTTATTTGTATTATTTCTTCTTTAAATATTTGATAAAATTTACCAATGAAGTCATTTGGGGCTTAGACTTTGTGGGGAAATTTTTAATTACTGATTCAATTTCCTTAATTGGATCAGTCTGTTCAGGGTCTCTTTTTTTCTTGAGTCAGTTTTGGTAATGTGTGTCTTACTAGGAATTTGTCCATTTTGTTTAAATTGTCTAACTTGTTGGCATAAAGTTTTTCATAGTATATTTTATAATATTTCTGTAGAGGTTAGTGATAATATCTTCATTCCTGGTTTTGGTAATATGTGTCTTATTCTTTTTTGCTTGGTTGGTTTAGCTAAAGGATTGTTAGTTTTGTTGATCTTTTGAAAGAACCAGCTTTTTCTATTTTTCATTGATTTCCAAATCCATTCTCTAGCTTTTTCTTTATTCTGCTTATTCCATGTTTAGTTTGCTTTTTTTATAGTTTCTTAAGGTGAAATCTTAGATTATTAGTTTCAGTTGCTTCTTCTTTAAGACCATTCCTTTAATTGCCTCGTAATTTTTGTATGTTTTGTTCTCATACATATTTAGTTCAAAATACTTTTAAATTTACCTTGTAATTTCTTACTATGACCCTTGGATTATTAAGTAACATAGTAATCAATTTCCACATTTTTTGGCATTTCCCCAGTTTTTTCTGTTGATTCCTAATCTAATTCCACTATGAGATTGCAAAGCATACTTTGTAGGATTCCAATTCTTTTAAAAATTATTTATTGAGAATTGTTTTATGCATATATTTGTACAGCTTGTGATCTAGAAATGGCTTTTAGATTATTAGAGAAGAAGAATCTGTGACAAAAATAACACATGGCTTGCAAAACTTAAAATATTTGCATCCATGGGCAGCCCAGGTGGCTCAGCGGTTTAGCGCCGCCTTCAGCCCAGGATGTGATCCTGGAGACCCGGGATTGAGTCCCGTGTGGGGCTCCCTGCGTGGAGCCTGCCTTTCTTTCTGCCCTTGTGTCTCCCTCTTTTTCTCTCTCTGTGTTTCTCATGAATAAATAAATAAATAATCTTTAAAAATTAAAATAAAATAAAATATTTGCATCCACTTGGTCATGGTATTTAATCCTTTTTATATGTTCCTGGGTTTGGTGGGCAGGAAGGGTTTCTAACCCCTGGCAGAGCATCGGTCTGTTTTAGAGA